GCCTCCCAAGTGCTGGGATCAAAGGCAGAGGCACCATACAAGTATTTCTTAAAGCTACGATTTTGATTTTCCCCCTAATATAACTAGGCAGCCCCTGCTAGGGAGCCTGATGAGATAGACAGGAAGCTGGGAGGACCACCACAAGGAGAGAACCAAAGGACACAGCAAGGCAGCTTTGCCTGTGCTGGCATATGCTCAGAGAACTCCAAAAGACCAAACAGGGCATGGTGCTCCTGGAATGCCCTGGGTGTGTCCTTGACCATTCTGGAAAGAAATATCAATCTCCTCAAATAACACAGGAGACACAAAATCTTCACTAATCATGTGGTACTTGAAGTGGATATCTATGTAGTGTTTGTTTGCCAGAAGTAATTTCATTAAAAAATAATAGCTTAAAATTAAAAATATGGCTGTGGCTAGAGCTCAGTGGTCCACTGACTGCCTAGCACACAGGAGGCCCTAGCTCCAATACCCAGCATGGGGGAGGGCGCAGAACAGTGACAGAAGAGGCTGAACAAAAAGTTGGAGTTACTGATAATAAGGACTAACTGGGGGAGACTGAATAACTGTTAAATGAACATGCAAACCAGGATTTCTCTGTGCAACCCTGGTTGTCCTGGAACTCAAGACTGTCTCTGCTTCCCAGGTGCTGAGATCAAAGGACTTTGCTATCACCACCTGGCATATGATCTCAAAGATGTTTGTATGTCCTTTTTTTTTTTTTTTTTGAGAAAGAGTATTACTGTGTAGCTGTCCTGAAATTCATTATGCAGACCAGACTAACCTCAAACTCATAGATATCTACCTGCCTCTGCCTCCCAAGTGCTAGAATTAAAGGAGTGCACCACCACTGCATAGTTCAGTTTAAGTGTTTTTACATTATAGAAACTAAATCAAAAGAAGGCTTTTGAATAAATTCTTCAGAAAAACAATATATTTTATACTATACATAGCAAAATAAATTCCAGCAGGAATAAAAAGACAGAAAATAAATCTGGCCAAGTGATAAAGCTTGGTGGTATAGAGCCTACGCAGCATGCGTGAGATTCTGAGTTGGATCCCAGTCCCATTAAATCAAACAAAAATGAGGAGAAGAAAACACTCAACTGGTTACTGTGGTCTCAACCCGGGGAAGGCCGCCAGAGTGAAGATCAAAGGAAAAGACCAACAATAAACAGGTGTGGCTTACAGAAAAACGGTTTTGTTTGATTGATCGATTGACTGAGACAGGGTCTCTATGTAACTTTGGCTGTCCTAGAACTCTCTTTATAAACCAGACTGGCCTCTGCCACCCTGAGTGCTGGGATCAAAGGGGGCACCACTACTCCAGCTTTGTATTACTTTTTGAGGTAAGGTCTTACTACGTAGCCCTAGCTGGTGTTGAACTTGAGGATATCCTCTGCCTCCTAAATGCTGGGATTATAGACACTGTGCCCACTTGAAACTTTGGAGAGGGGTTGGTGGACTATGGATCAAACTCAGAGCCTCAAGCATGCAAGCCAAGCATTCTACCTCTGAGTTACACCTCCAGCCCTAAAACTAGAAATAAAGTAAAATGAAAAGCTTGGGACAGTCTGCAAATGAAAAGCAAGGCTGTTAAGACGTTATTACAGAGCAATGGGGAGAAACATTGAGGGGTGACCCACGACCGAACTCCAATCAGTAGATACACATTAGAAAACTTACTCAGTGTCTACTATATTTCTAACCAAAGAGGAAAACGGACTCCATGGAACTGCCTAGAAGCTGACTGGACACAACAGCAGACGAGTCAGCTAAGATCTAGACACAAGCAGGGCTGAAACAGGAGGAGGCAATGATGAGATAGAGAGAAAGAGTCTTGAGTTTTGCTGGGGTTCTGACACCAGGTCTAGCTTTTAAGGAATCGCAGGGGATCAGGCCGGCAATGCCCTGCTGCTTTTCTTGTCTCAAAAAAGCCGGGAGTGTAAGCATGTGATACCCATCTGGTAATATGGAAAAATAATCAGCAGTTTTATCGACTTTTGTCTCCACAGGATTTGTGGGATTCTCTGAGGGATGAAAGAGAGTTCAATTTTTTATACTCTTACATTCTCTAAATATTCTCTAAATAGTATGTATGTTGATAGAAATAAAGTCATTTTCAATATTAATGTCTACAATCTGGATTCTAAAAACAGGTAAATCGTGTATCACATGATAAATCCTGGTGGACTTGACTGTAACATTAAGTTCAGACTGTCTCTCTTCTTCAGTGCTGGGACGAAACCAGGGACTCGGACAGGCCCTACCACTGAGCAGAGCCCCAGGCCCCACAACATGAAATACAGCAGCGCCTTTTCCAGTCATGTTTCGTCTCTTCACGTCATTCTTTGCCTCACCTTTGAAAAGTCCTTTGATGCCTCCCATCTTCTTGACCATCTGCGCAAACTTGGTGTACTGCGTCAGAAGTTCCTGCACATCTCTTGTGGACACACCTGAGCCCCGGGCGACTCTCTGGATCCTGCCTGGCTGCTTACTAAAGACCTTGGCGCCGTCTGTGCTGTCCAGTTCTGCAGACAAGGACCAAATGACATCATTTACATCAGAGCATCACTCACTATCACAGGAGCCCAGCACTCGGCCTCGGAGTTACACCTCCAGGCCTAAAATGGAAATGCATTTATTAGGGGAAAAGGGGCGGGGGCGGGATTAGAGAGATGGCTCAGCAGTTAAAAACAGGACTGCTCTTCCAGGACTCAGGTTCAATTCCCAGCACCTACATGGCAGCTAACAACTGTCTCTAACTCCAAAATCTGGCACCCTCACACAGACATACATGCAGGCAAAATACCAATGTAAATGAAATAAAAAGAAATAAATTATAAAAAAGAAAACAGAAATAAAGCCAAATGAAAAACTTGGACCTGAACAAGGAAGAAGTGAACACAGAGGAAATTCAAATCAGCAATATATAACCCTCAGAGGGTTGTACAGATACGTTTTTATTTTTTAGAGACAGGGTCTCATGCATCCCTAGTTAGCCTCAAAATCTCTATGAAGGCTAGGATGACCTTGAATTTTTTTTTTCCTGCTTCCATTTCTTGAGTGCTGGGATTACAGTGTTTGATACCACATCTGGTTTACTGGGTCCTAACAGAGGGATGCCTGTAGGCTAGGCAAGCACCCCACCAACCCTCAGATGGGGAGGAGGGTGTGTGTTTGTGTACTGACGTGCATGTGCGTACAAATTATCTGTCTGACAGAGGGTCTCTCGGTGAACCTAAAGCTTGCTGTTCTGAGTAGGCTCTGGTTGTCTCCACTCCTCAGCACCAGAGTTAGAGGGATGGAGAGCCATGCACGGCTTCTGACCATGGCTTCAGGGGGGCTGGAATCCAGGCCTCACAATGAGTGCTGTCACCTCTGAGCCACTCCCCACCTTGTGTCTCCACAGAGAGAAAATGTCACTGCTCTGTCTGTATACTATAAAATATCTATCTCATACACAGAACAAGACATGCAGAGGTCAAACCACAAAACAGATTGAATAAATGTTACTGTTTGTCGTGTTTGCTTCTAACTTAAAATCTTAAAGTAGAATATAATAAAAATATTTATAGCATTAGAGTAAAAAGAACAAAGCAAACATATGTATACTCTATCTACAATTTAAACAGAACATTCTGAGAACAAACAGGCATGGTGGCAAATACCTTTAACCCCAGGACCCAGGATGCAGAAGCAGGAGGATCTCTGTAAGTCTGGGGCCAGTTTGGTCTACAGAGCAAGTTCCAGACCAGCTAGGACTAAATGTAAGTTTTCAAAAGGAAAAAAGAAAAATCTGAGGACTTCTGAAACTCTGTATCTATCACTCTGTATTTCACATATCCATCCTTTCTATGTCCTCCACAAATCACAATATGGTGTATTTCAAAAACAACAGAAGCACTCACCTTGATTCTACTCTATTAAACAGCTGTTAAGTTCTAATCCACAAATTTAGATCTCCTAAGCAAGAAGACATTTTTAAAAATGTCATAAAAAAAGAAGGGAGGAAAAAGAAAAAAACTCTATAATGTAACTGTCTCAAAACAATACAAAACAGAAACAAAGTAAAACAAACAGCGCCAGAATGCAGACATAAGAGAATATACCTCTCAGTCTCTTTTTCACTGTATCTCGGGCTGAGCTCAAACTTGTGATCTTCTTGTCTTGGCCTCTTGAGCGACAGGATTACAGGGATATAATACGCCTAGTCCAACATTCTCTTTATAACATCCCGCTTGTTGCCAAGCCTGATAACCTGAATTCAATCCCTGAAATTCTCATAGTAGAATTTCCCCCAATTGTCCTCTGACCTCTACACACCTATACCAAGTCCTCCCACACCCCTAGCAATAAGTAACTAAAGTTTTTATAAAAGGGAGTGTGGGTGGGGGCTGGGTGGTGGTGGCATATAGCTTTAATCATAGCACACAGGAGGCAAAGGCAGAGAATCTATGACTCTGAAGCCAGCCTGGTCTACAGAGCAAGTTTCAGTATAGCCAGGGCTACATAGAGAAACCTTGCCTCCAAAATAAATAAATAAGTAAGTAAGTGAGTGAGTGAGTGAGTGAGTGAGTGAGTGAGTGAATGAATGAATGAATGAACGAACAAACAAATAAGAAATAAACAAATAAATAAATGAAAATGATAAAAAATGAATGAAATAAAATGGGAGTAGGAGTACCTCCATGGTTAAGAGCACTGGCTGATCTTCCAGAAAATTGGGGTTTGCTTCCCAGCACCACACAGTGGTTCTCACCTGTCTGTAACTCCAGTTTCAAAGAACCCCACGCCCTCTGACCTCCCCAGGCACAGCACACACATTCTGAACAGACATACATGCAGACAAAACACCCATACACGTAAAATAATTTAAAAAATCAGTTTCCTTTATTAGAAACATAGGTGGCCTCAGTCTTAGCGACCCCAGTGATTGGCCAACAGCACAGGAAATATAAGATTGCAGTTTCTAGAATCAGTCCAAGTACAGAATGATCCAGGCCTGGTGGCACATGCTTTTGATCCTAGCACTCAGAGGCAGAAACAGATCTCTTTTGAATTTGAAGCCAGTTTGGTCTACATAACAAGTTACAGGTCAGCTGAGTCTCCCTAGTGAGACTGTCTCAAAAAACAACCAACACTACGGAACAGATGCACAAAGTCGAAAAACCGAATCTAGCAGAACAAATGCAGCCCTGTAAACACTGGTTTCTGCAAAGAACGGCAGCAAAGACCATCAAGTCAGACTGTCCTCACTAGACACAGCTGGGTCAGCTGTCTCCTCCAGACACAAACTCTCACTTACTGATGCAGGAATGCAAACAAGCAGGAAGGTTTCTAGAAGACAGCAGTCAGAGTATCTTAGGACTCTGGGGGGGACTTTGTCTTGAGATTCAGTTACATCAGACATCTCAACTTCTCAAAATGTTTTGGCTAACCTTGAGCTTTTCCTATTTTAGACTGTTTTTTGCTTAGTCTGAAACCAAGAGCTGCTACTCAGCTGTTGTTGGCCTTGTACTTGCTCCATCACCAGGCCAGCCTCCAGCTCACTCATGGCACTCCTGCCTCAGTGCTAGGATTACATGCGTGTGTTTATATATCTGCCCAGTCTTGGCATTTTCCACTTTGATTAAGTTTCAGAATCACTATTACCATTGCTACAAACATGAAAAGGAAGATTTTTATTTAGACTTTTATTTATTTATTAGTATTATTTTTTGTTTTTTGATGGTTTCATGTAGCTCAAACTGGCTTCAACCTTACCTTAATGCTCAAGAATGACCTTGAATTCCTATTCCTCGTGCCTCCACCTCCCAAGTAGGGATCATAAGTGTGCATGGACTTGCCTAGAGACTGGGATTTTATTGAAACTATAAATAAACTTGTGGGAACTGAATAACTATGTAAGGAAGTATGTCATTCGGCTATAACTCCAACTACAGAATTTTTGTTGCCTAGCATTTCCATATATACACCCCTGCCAGGCATAAAAAGAAGAGTTTCGATAACAAACAGATAAACAAATAAATACAAACATGATTTCAAAAGAAAAAAAAAAAAAGAAGGCTTTCAGATGTGGGAGAGCCATCATGTACCCTACAGAGAGACTGAGGACAGACTCCCAAGAAAAATGTTTAGGTTGGACCCCACCTCTCTACTGTCCAGTGACCTTGAATATCTTTACTCAGTATGATTATACCTCAGTTTTTTTCACCCAGAAAAGATAGATAATAGTGAACTACCTCCCTTAAGAACTATGATGATTAAATGGTTTATTTGAAAGGTACACATTAAGTATTGAAGAGACAATAAAAGAAACACTGAATTTACTTGATTATTAATTTATAAATAGCTTCTCTTTTATTTAAAAATTTACTTATTTCTGTACTTTACGTATATGGGTGTTTTATCTGTATGTACAGTTGCACACCAGAAGAGGACATCAGATCCCATGGTACTACAGTTATAAATGGTTGTGAGGCACCATGTAGACTGGGAATTGAACTCAGAACCTCTGGAAGAACAGCCAGTGCTCTTAACTGCTGAGCCATCCCTCCAGCCCCTGATTATTTATATTGAGACAGGATCTCACCATGTATCTCTGACTAGCCTGGAACTTGCTATGTAGACCAGGCTGGCTTCAAACTCAGAGATCCACCTGCCTCTGCCTCTCAAATGCCTGGATTAAAGGAGTGCACCAACATACCCAGCCAACATTTAATTTTTTTAAACCCAGGATTCTCAACACTAACTGTAATTTTCCCCATTCATTTCTATCAACTTGATGAAAACATACAATTCTTTCTTTAGAGCTCATTTAGAGAAGTGTTATACATGAAACTCAAAACTTGCTGCTATCCAGAATATTGGCCCTCAGTCAAGTCACTTGCTCTCTTACCTTGATCATTCATACTATCCATTATTGTCATCAGCTTCTTGAGCCTTGCCATTGACTCCTGTTCATTTCCTTTGCTCATAAAATCTGTTCCAAAACCTGGAATCATCCCCTAAAACAGATGGAAACATAGTCATCAATGACTTAATACTGCTCAAAATGTCAATATTTAAACACTAGCCTTGAAACTAATTATTAACCAAACCATTTTACCCAAACGATTTATGCAAGTATAACTGTTCTTAGAAATTACAATGAAAAGTGCATCATATGAACTCATGAAGATGTCACAACAAAACCCACAATTTTACACAACTGATACCCGCGAATTAGGCAGGCGGCTCTTCTGTTACAGCCATGCCTGCCACACTACAGTGTATTAAGTTGCTTTCTTTGTACAAATAAAATGAACACAAAAACATATAAAGAATTTTAGAAACATTTAAAGATAACTAACCAAGATCTGACTGAATGGGCCCATTTTCATGATATTCTGAAACTGTTCATACATGTCTCGCAATGTAAACTGACCTGAAATGCAATATAAATAATTCAGATATAGCAGAAAATGTACATTTCCATTCAATAAAACTAGTATTTTCCTTAATCATGAATTCATCTTGAATCATATTATCCAATCAATAAACATTCATTGCACAGTTACTGTGTGGAAGACAGGATGAATGCTGGAAGGAGTAATAAGCACATGGACAGACTGTATCACAGAGAAGCTTACTATTCTAGCACATTAGATAGACATACGCAACTACAAGAAACTTAGAAACAAGGGAAACTACATCTACTAAAATGGCTACAATTAAAAGGCTTGAATATAGCAAAAACTAAAGAGAATATAGAACATGTAAAATTTCTATGCATTACGGGCAAGAATATAAAATAGTGAAAATGATTTATAAGATTTGAAATGTCTTCATAGCTTAGCTATCCAAGGTTAGGAAAATGGACAGACTGAGGACAAAACAGTACTCAAATAATGCCAGGAGTGATGACACATGCCTTTAATCCCAGCAGAGTCATCTGAATCCTCTGAGTTTGAGGACAGCCTGGTCTACATAGAGTTTTAGGACAGCCAAGGCTACAGAGTCCCTGTATGAAAAAACTAGAGTTTCATTGACGGTTATAGAAAACTTCATTGGTGATTATAAAAATATTTTGCTGATGGGCCTGATGGCTCACACCTGTATTCTCTACACTCAAGAGGCTGAGGAGATAAGATTCCAAGTTTATAGTCAGCCAGGACTAAGAAAGGAAGATTCTGAATCCCGTAACTCGGGGAATCGGCATAAAACCCAAACATTCTGCCCAAGGCTGACCCGGGGCCCAGCTGCTGATCCTGTGAAGCCCAACAACGTGGAGGTGCTGGTGAGATTGCCCTACTGATCAACCTGTTCAGCTGAGACCCATTCTGGTGAGACTGCCCTATTGATCAACCTGTTAGCTGAGATCTATCCGGGAGAGGTTTCAGAAGCCTGCAGCCTGAGGAAACAAGTTCAGCTGAGGAGTGGGCGAGCGACCCAAGAACGCAAGAGAAGGAGCCGTCCAGCCACCGAACCAGATCACCAGAGTTATAAGCCATTCTTACACCGACTGGTAACAGGTAAGGCCCCATCTCGGGACCTACAGACCAGGTCTCTAGCCCCTAGGCCCCAGCATTGGAGCCCCAGGGACCAGGCAGCTCCCTTTCCCTGCTTCCTCGCCAGCCCCTGCAAACCCAACAACCACCGGAGTCATAAGCCCAACCTCCACCCACTGGGAACAACTGCTCCCCGAGACAGAAGCCACTAACACTGATTGGACGAAGCTGCTCCCAGAGAAACAGAGCCCAGCACAACTGATTCAACCAAGAACCCCTAGTGGACCAAGACTAACAATTAGAACAAGAGAGGCATCTTCAGACACAGACACCACCTGCACCAAGCAGAGGAA